GAAGAGAAAATGACAAAAAAGGAAACGTCAAAGATGGTGTGAACTTTCAGGATAGCAATAGGATACAAGGGCAATAGATGCTGTTTGGACTTCTATACACCAACTAAATCTGCCTCAAAACAATGATGATGGTATGACACGTAAAGCTGTGCGTTTAGCGTGTTGGTTCGTACCATTAACATGTGGCCAAGTGTACGAAGAGATGGAAAGATACGAAAAACCGTTCAGGAGAGTATACGCACTGAAATTGTGTTCATAACCCGTTCTTCCTTTCTTGTTCGTTGGAAACACATTTCCTAAAAGATTCTCAAAATCAATCGTGGCTTTCACGGAAGTGAGGGATGTGAGCGTGAGAAGAAGTGGAAGGAGGAAGCCCGACAAGGTTGCTAGGAATTTTCCAGAAGTAGATTGGCAAGGACAATGAGGGAGAACGACCAAGCAAAAATGACGATATGGGGAACGACAACGATCGTGTGAACTTTCAGGATAGCAATAGGATACAAGGGCAATAGATGCTGTTTGGAAACCTTTATCCCAAATAAATCTGCCCCAAATCAATGATGACGGTATGGCACGTGAACCTGTGCGTTTAGCATGTTGGTTCGTACCATAACATGTGGCCAAGTGTACGAAGAGGAAGAAAGATACGAAAAACCGTTCAGGAGAGTATACGCACTGAATTTGTGTTCATAACCGTTTCTTCCTTTCTGGTTTGTTGGAAACACATTTTCTAGAGAATTCTCAAAATCAATCGTGGCTTACACGGTAGTGAGGGATGAGAACGTAAGGAGAAGTGGAAGAAGGAAGCCCGACAAGGTGACTAGGAACCTGTTGAAGAGTGGCAAGGACAATGGGGAAAACGACCAAGCAAAATTGACGATAATGGGAACGACAACTATGGTGTGAACTTTCAGGATAGTAATAGGACACAAGGTCAATAGATGCTGTTTGGAAAACTTTACCCCAACTAAATCTGCCCCAAAACAATGATGATGGTATGGCACGTGAAGCTGTGCGTTTAGCGTGTTTGTTCGTACCATAACATGTGGCCAAGCGTACGAAGAGGAAAAAGATACGAAAAACCGTTCAGGAGAGTATACGCACTGAATTTGTGTTCATAACCCGTTCTTTCTTTCTGGTTCGTTGGAAAGACATTTCCTAGAAAATTCTCAAAATCAATCGTGGCTTACACGGTAGTGAGGGACGTAAACGTGAGGAGAAGTGGAAGAAGGAAGCCCGAAAAGGTTGCCAGGAACTTTCCTGACGTAGATTGGCAAGGACAATGGGGGAAAATGACCAAGCAAAAGTGACGATAAGGGAGACGACAAAGATGGTGTGAACTTTCAGGATAGCAATAGGATGCAAGAGCAATAGATGATGTTTGTAATTCTATACCGCAACTAAATCAACCCAAAAACAATAATGATGGTATGGCACGTAAAGCTCTGCGCGGAGCATGTTGGTTCGTACTATAAACATGTGGCAAAGTGTACAAAGAGGTGGAAAGATACGAGAAGCCGTTTGGGAGAGTATTCGCACTAGAAGTGTGTTCATAACCCATTCTTCCTGTCTGGTTCACTGGAAACACATTTCCTAGAAAGTACTCAAAATCAATCGTGGCTTACAAGGTAGTGAGGGATGTGAGCGTAGGGAGAAGTGGAAGAAGGAAGCCCGACAATGTTGCTAAGAACTTTCCTAATGTAGAATGGCAAGGAAAATGGGGGGAAATGAGCAAAAGTGACGATAAGGGACACGAGAAAGATGGTGAGAACTATCAGGATATGAATAGGATGCATGGGAAATAAATCCTGTTTGAAATTCTATAAAACAACTAAATCAGCCCAAAAGTATTGAATGTGGTATGGAAGGTAAAACTATGCGTGTGATTGTATTGGCTCGTACCAGAAACATGTGGCAACGTGTACGAAGAGGTGGAAAAGTACAAGAAAACGTCCGAGAGAATATGCGCAATGAAGTTTTGTTCATAACCCGTTCTTCCCTTCTGGTTCGTCGGAAACACATTTTCTAGAAACTTCTCAAAATCAATCGTGACTTACACGATAGTGAGTGATGTGAAGAGAAGTGGAAGAAAGAAGTTCGATAAGGCTACTATGCACTTTCCTGATGTAGAGTGGCAAGGGTAATGGGGGTCAAGGACCAAGCAAAAAAAGACACAAAAAGGGAACGACAAAGATGGGGTGAGCTATTATGATAAGAATAGAATGCCTATAACACAACTAAATCTGCCCAAAAACATTGACGGTGGTATGGCAGGTGAAGCTTTGTATATGTGTGCGTGTGTGCATGTGTATGCGTGCGTGCGTGCATGCGTGAGAGTGCGCGCGTGCGCACGCCCGTTCGTGCGTGCGTGCGTGCTTATTTGTGTGTTGGCTCGTGGCAGTAAAACGTGATAAGGTATATGAAGAGGTGGAAAGATACGGGAAAACGTAAAAGACTAAATACGAAATGAGATTGAGTTCATTTTCCACTCTTATTTCCTTCTTCGTTGGAGACACAATTTCAAGAAAGCTTTCTTCATCTATCGCGTCTTACACAGTAGTGAGGGATGTGAGCGTGAATAGAAGGGGAAGAAGCGAGTCGGACAAGGTTGCTTGGAGCTTTCCTGATGTAGAATGGGAGAATGAGGCAAGGAGAATGGAGGAGGAAGAAGAACAAGCGAAAGTGACCATAGAGGGAACGACAAGGGGGTGAACTATCAGGATAGGGTTAGAATGCATGGGCAATAGATCCTTTTTGCATTATTGGTAAGCGAAAGGACCTGCGTGTGTTTAAACATGATGAAGATACAGAGCATACACAAAAAAGTCAATGGCACATTAACCTGACTTTCAAGATTCGATTCCCCTACCTTTGAATTCTTATACGAAACTCAACCCACTATGCTACCGACTGTGTTTAAGTCTCGAAAATTCAATTTTTAAATATGGTGACGAAACACAGCAGCCACGAAAACGGTGCTGTGGAGAATCGATCTCCTTACCTTCTGTAAAAATCAGCCCACTGTGCTACATGAACTGATTAATATTGACACGCAAATTTAATAAACGTAGTAGTATCGGGTGTTCAAACAGCACGACGAAAACACGACTGTTAAGTAGTGCCAGGAATCGATCTCCTCACCTTTGTGTTCACCAACGAAACTCAACCAACTGTGCCAAACGAGTTGTCGCCGAACGGAAATTGATATTATAAGTACAATTGCGACTTCGGTGCATTTTTGTGCATTACGTATAAGCTGGTTTGCGTTTGGCGCCAGCGCAAAGGCGCCAGCGCAAAGGCGCCAGCGCCCAAAGGCGACCGTGCACGGCGCCAGCGCCCACTGCGCCAGCGCCCAAAGGCGCCAGCGCAAAGGCGCCAGCGCCCAAACGCGCTCGCGCAAGGCGCCAGCGCCCAAAGGCACCCGCGCAAGGCGCCAGCGCCCACTGCGCCAGCGCCCAAGGCGCCAGCGCCCAAAGGCGCCAGCGCAAAGGCGCCAGCGCCCAAAGGCGCCAGCGCAAAGGCGCCAGCGCCCAAGGCGCCAGCGCAAAGGCGCCAGCGCCGAAACGCGCCAGCGCCCATAAAGCGCCAGTGCAAAACGTCAGCGCCCAAGGCGCCAGCGCCCAACGCGCTATGGCGAAAATCCGGCAGCGCTTTGGCGCCAGCAACCAATGCACCAGCGCAGCCCAATGCACGAGCACCTAGGAAACATTGTGTTTCTTACCAAAATGATTGTCACTATAAGTTCTTTGAAGACTCTGAGTAGTGCTTGTGGTATTCGTCACTCAGTAGTTGGAAGAATATGTCAAGAATGGCCAAGAATGTTTGAGAAAAGCTTCTCAAGAATTGCTCTATGCTAGTACTAGCTTGTGAGGAGATCAATCTGAGTAGTAGCTGCGTAGCGATAGATGGGAGGGATGGATGAGGAGGATGGATTCGAAGGGGGGGGGGCATTCGAAGAGAGGATGCGCTTCGGAGAATTTTGTTCAAATTTGAGGTGGGTTCAAAGTCGATCTACGTGTCAAATTCGAAATCAAACTCGAGGGCAAAAGGTGGCAACTTTTAAATTTTGTTCCTTCTAAGAGGCTTGGGCAGGTTTGAGTAACTTTTGAGTTGTATTACCAAAATCAACTCTGCAACAATTTGGCTCACGTGAAATCCACGTCAAATTTACAGAAGTGACACAATTCTGCTTGTGGATGAATCATCTTTCAGACAACTCATCATTTCTAAGACAACTCATACAAAATGGAGAGACTCTAAATAGTGCATCTAAACAGTTTAGCTTAAGGTTGTTCCAATATGACCATATCAAAATCAAAATTGCTGAAAGATTGTATCTAATATAATAGATTGAAAGCCAATATATAAATAGCAAATTAAAATTCAAAAGCATAATATACAACTTAACATAAAATTATAATTGTATTTCTCATATATCCAATGGAATTTGTAATATCCATTTTTAAATAAACTCATTATTAATCTCACACGCAAGCAACAACATCTACGGTATCTATTTTACCCTCCAAACAGGTGGCACATTATTAAATGCACGTTTAATCATTCATCCATTCCAAAGTAGCAATCACCTGCATATGCATTTTTTAACATATTATACTTTTCTTATATCTATGATATATTAATATTTATAGATTGAAAATGTATACCTACGCAACCCATACGACGTTAAACGTCGAGTCTTGTTATTTATTATATACATCGCCTTTCTAAAATAAATATGATCGAATAATTCGTGTATTTCTCCTTATGATAACACAAATGATCTCCTTAAATGCATCTGAAATCGCATACATTATAGATGTTGAATAAATTTAAGTGCTGTAAAGAGATGTAAGGGATGACTAATAACTATCTCCCCTATTTTTGTGTGAAGTCTCTCTAGGCAGAATCCACAATATTTTTGTGGAGTTGTCGGCCGTCTCCTAAACGAGATGCGACTGGTTGCGAGGCTTCCAGAACTCGTCGATCTCCACGGCGAAATGAGTCGCATGCGTCGGAACGTGGTGTTTTTGTCGCCGACACCACCACCCAGCCGTGTAAAGCGGTCGTTTGAGCTGCAGGTAGAACTTTCTGAGAAAAAACTATCCTCGATTTCTTCTGGGTTCTCTCGCATTTGTCAGCCCCAGCTGCCCAATCGCAAATTTCGTGCGCCAAACCACCCACCACCCCTCTCACATCCCACTCGTCTCGTGAGGCGCCTCGTCAGCCCGCTCTGCTGGTGGCTGCTTGCCTGCCTCCGCTTCTTTCCACCCCGCACCGATTGTCACACCACACCGACACGGAGAGCCGCGCAACCGAAATGTGAAACCTAACATGCGGCTCGGTAATTTCTCGCACATTCAAAATCAAATGCGTGCTGCACTCGCTCCTTCCAGTAGTTCTCGCAGTCGTTCGTTGTTTCACGCCAACTTTGTCACTGGAAATTCGAAAATACATGTCACACGATTCCGTGCTCCAGACTGAAGCCCTAGTGGTCGACGCTTTCTACTCCAACTCAGCCTACCTCTGTTGCCTCAAACCAAAATTCTCGCGCTCCTCGCGATGGCTGCTCGAACTACTCAGCCTTGGTCGAATCTCCCCCTAATGGTTGTCGCGACCGCCCTCGCCTTAGCCGCCACAGCCGCAGCAGCCGGCGACAGTCTGGTGTTCTGCAAGCAGTAGTACCCGCGCGCAACCCGAGCAAGTGCCCCGCCGTGCAGCCAATGAGCAGTCTCAACGTGGCGCGGCTGAAGGGGCGGTGGTACGAGGTGGCGGCGTCGTCGCGCACAAGTTCACGGCGGAGCTCGGCGCGGCGTGCACCGCCTTCGAGTTCGAAGTCGCGCCCAAGCAGAACGGCCTCAACGCCATGCGGTATGCCATTTGCGTCCATGCTCCTCGGTCACCCCACTATCCTTCATGCACTTCAAAACCTTCCCTTCCCAAAACACAGTCGTCCTCTTCTTTTCCCCCACCCTTACAAGACTCTTCTGCCTTCATTCCGCAGGCAACTCGGGAGTCCGATTCCGCCATCTCCGCCCCCTGTCTCCTTTCCCTCTCCTTTTCCTTCACCACTCCCCTTGCCCGTTCCCTTCCCCTCTCCCCTTCCCATCCACTTCCCATCTCACCTCCCCTTCTCCCATCTCGCTTTCCCTCTCGGCATGGCCGCAGCGTCACGCGGCGACTCGTCGAGGCGGTGGGTCCCGTGCGCGCAACGCAGGTCGGCACCATCGCCTCCGCCTCCCTCCGCTCGGCGCGCAACCTGCGCGGAGTGTGCTCCGCTATCGCCGGCCAGAAGCTCCCCACGGAGCTCTCGTACGCGTCGCTCGTCAACCAGGCGAAACTTGGTCTGCCGGCCGCCGGCTTGGACGGCAAAACTGCCGGCCAGACGTCCACCAGCCTCTCCGTCATCTCCGCGTCGCTAGGCCAGATCTCCGCGCAAGCCGGCGCGATTCACGCGAGGCTCGCTCGCATCCAGACGGATCTCGCGCCGGTGAATCAGGTCGACCGGCTGCCGAGTCTCAGCGCCCTGCGGAGCAGGATCGGTAATACAACGGAGGCGATCCGACGGTCGGTGCGCGCGATCCAACGGTCGAGAGGGAGGATCTTGAAGCAGGCTGATGCGGTTGGGCGTTATGAACGTGCAGGCGTCTTCTGCGTCCAAGAAGAACCGACTCCAGGTACCACCTCCCCCCACCTATGCGTCTCTGGGCACTTTTGAGGCGCCTCAGAAGCAGTCATCTCCGCTAGCCGCTCAACCCCACGCTCGCCCTGCAGCGGCAGGCGTCATCTCTGGGCACTCTGGCCGCCTCTGCCGCCACCCACCAGCACAGAGTCGACTGCAAAAAAAGAGCATCCCTTCCCTGTCCATTTCCCTCCTCTGTCCCCCTCTCAGCTACTAAACGCCACGCTGGCCCTGCAGCGCCAGGCGTCCGCTGTGGGCACGATAGCCGTCTCCGCAGCCAAGATTGGCCTCCTCTCTCCCCCCCCCCCCCCGCCACTCCCGCCGCCGCCACGCTCCTGGGCGTGGTTTGATGACTCTCAAAACACCCCATCCTGCCCTCCTCCCCTGCCACGTTTTCTTTTGCCCCTCCTCCCCCAACCCCTCTCCTCAGCTACAAAACGCCACGCTGGCCCTGCAGCGCCAGGCGTCCGCTGTGGGCACGCTAGCCGTGCCCGCCACTCACACCTTCTTTCTCTTCGTGCCCTCGCCCCTCCCTCCCCTCAGCTACTGAACGCCACGCTCGCCCTGCAGCGTCAGGCTTCCGCCGTGGGCACTCTAGCCGTCTCCGCAGCCAAGATCGGCCTCCTCTCCTCCCTCGCCACTCCCGCCGCCGCCACGCTCTTCGAGTCGCCCGTCAACCTCACCCAGGCCGTGAGCATGCGAGGCACGCTGGTGCAGGGGGCAAGCAGGGCGACGGCAGCATTGCAATGAAGTTTGGAGGGGATGCTGCTGGAGATACTCGGTCGTGCATGCCACGCCGGGATTCGATTTGGTTGTGCTGTATGGGTGCTCTGCGGCGAACCGAGCCAAGCTCGCAGCAACGGAAGGACAGGTGAGGTCTGGTACTGTACCGTATGCAATGTTCCAATTAACGTCACATGTTGCTTCCTGCCACTCACCATCATATGTAACCCCTTGCTCACCAACCCCCCCCTCGCTCGCCAACCCCCTTGCTACCTTTGTTTCCTACTCCTGCAGGCTAAGGTGTTGGTGCTGGCAAGGCATCGGACAGGGTCTGCCAGTGAGCTCTCATCTGTGGAGGCAGTGTTGCAGGCAAGAGGTGTCGTGCTGGGTGGCGCTGCGAATGTGCTGGTTACCACTGACCAGTCATGCCTCTCTTCACATGTGTGTCTCCTCCCTCCCACCCACCCTGCAGGCCAAGGTGTTGGTGCTGGCAAGGCAGCGAACAGTGTCTGCCAATGAGCTCTCATCTGTGGAGGCGGCACTGCAGGCAAAGGGTGTCGTGGGTGGTGGCGCCAACGTGCTGGTTACCACCGACCAGTCATGCCCGTACCCCACTCAAGAAATACCTCTGGTTCTCCCTCTGCTGGTGTCCTCGTGCTGAGGTCCAACAAAAGAAAAAAAACAGAGCTTGACATACCGTACGTACTTGTGTGTGTGTAAAATAGGCTACTGAACCGACGTTACCTAGTTAGCTCTATCAGATGCTTATAGCGGGAATCAG